GGGTAACATGGGCTATGTAGGGTTCTAGAGAAGCATGCACTAAATCCAAAGACTAGACTATTGTCACCAGTGTCTTGATGCAGGTGGCGGCATCACAATCTACGTTAATCACAGTGAATACACATGTGACGTCCGTGAATAGAAACATGTCATTCATCCGTGATAACTTTCAATTTTGCGTGCCTTTTCATATACTGGTCAGATTGTCACATTAATTAATTTCCTCTCTCAAGAAGAGCTGTAATTTTTGACGTAAAACTTCGTGCTAGGAAGATAAGATTGAAGATTTAATTTCATGTATTGTTATTAATGATCTATTTCATTTTTTTTTTAATACTGAACACTATAATTACGGGTTTTGTTTTAAAAGCGTTATCCTCCAAGAAATTCGCTGGCCAACCTTGTTCTGTTAGGTAGCTGCACAAAATCGCTAAAAAAAGCATAGCTTGATGAAAAAACGCCAACCTTGCCGAAAACAAAATTTTATCGTCTAAATGCTTATGTCATTATGAAGAGGAAAGACCAAACTTTTTTTTAATTATTTTAAAATTTTTCCTTCTTTTTAGAACATTCTAAATTTTGATTAAAAAAACTTGTTTCTCTTTGTATCACCGGAACTAGTAAAATAATATAGACAATTTTTAGCACGTTTTTTTTTGTATAACACACATTAAATTGGAAATTCTTGCAAAAATAGAAATAATTATCGGGTATTAATGAAACTTTCAGGAACTATTCACAGATGATCGAAATTATTATAAATATTTTTTTAAATTAAAGTCATGGCAGAAATATATTTTTTATATTTAGTACCACACCCCCATAACTAATTTTATGAAAACGCTAGAAATTCGATCGCATTGGGTTTAGTGATTACAATAGTTAAAAGCACAAGGCTTTGAGGAATGCAACTCATGTTTTTTTTTTGGTTTTTAATTGACCCCGCCCTTACCTGAAAATCAGCTCTGAATTGTAGCATACAAAACTCAATAAAACAAAGATATTATTTAATTTCAAATGCTTTTATTTGTTTTTAGTTGTTTTATGAATATGGACAATATTTTCTGAAAAGCAAAAAATTTTCGATGAAAAATGAATTTTTAATACAATTATTTGTTATTTCTTTAATTATAATAGATTTTTTACATTTAAGTTGTTAAAAATATTATAAAATTAGTTAAAAGCCGCATCGGGTTTCCTAAGTGTCCTTATGAGATAGATCTTTTTTTTTAGCGCGTTGTATTTTGACTAATCAGAAGATCCGCAGTAATTAAGAAATGTAATTTTGTGTTTAAAATCAGGCTATAATTATAAAGTACGGAAGACCAACCAGAATACAATTAAGTTGCGTTATTTGAGTTAAGCACTGTTCTCCGCTGTTAAGGCATTTACTTTTGCGAAATACGTGTGGAGAAGTTAATTTGATTTTTCAATTTCAACTGAGAAGGGTACCTACAAGTATCAGTATCATCTTATGAAATTTATATGATCTTATTTTTATATTAATCTCAGTTATGACATTTTTCCATGAATGAAATATCAAAATTAATAATAAAATGAATGCAAATACAAACAACACAGTAAAATGTAATAAATGTACATAAAATTAAAATATTATATACACTTCTGATAAAATTTCATAAGAAAGGCACCTATAAAATAATTAGATACCTTTCTTATGGAATATGAAATTTAATCTCACTCTTAACAGTCTTATTTTAATTTCTTTATAATATATTTTCCATAAAGCATCGTAAACATAAAGGTGAACGCTAAGTAAAAAATAAAAAATTAGAGCGCTGAAAGTTTTCCGTAAAAATAAGGAGGTAAATAATTTGTTCACTTAAATGTAAATTATTTCACTTTTCTCTTTCCGTAGAACAAATTATCCTCACTGAATCCATCAATATGTCATTCATCACCTGTCAAGTGACGCGAAAGTTTATGAACTGCTCTGTTTTATTTTCAAATTACATCTTTTCGGCGCAGAAGCTAAGTTAAGCTTGGTTCAAAATATTTTATATAAACATTATAAATTCTGATTTTCTTAAAATAAGTTTTGAACAAATGATAATTGTTATTTAAAATAATTTCAAAGTGAGATTTGTAGTTTTTTTATAAAATGGAAAAAAATGGTCAATTTGTCTGACTCAAAAAAAAAAAAAAGAAAAAGATATTTAACGAAAATATCGGACGTGTTAGGAACGATTAAAAAATGTAAAAAAAATGCTCCCAAAATACTTTAATCTTTCCTCTTAATAATAACATAAACATTTAGACGAGAAAAATTTGTTTTCGTCAAGTTTGGCGTCTTGTTCATCCTGCTATGGTCTTTTTTTTAGCGATCTCGTGGGTACCTATATATATATATATATATATATATATATATATATATATATATATATATATATATATAAATTGAAATTCATCGTCACACCGAAAAATGATTACGAATCCATCTCTAAAATATTTAGCTGTTTTATTCAGGACTTCGTTTACTCGGTCGGAAAAACGTAAGCAAAATCTTGGTTCAGTTTATGCTATATATATATATATATATATATATATATATATATATATATATATATATATATATATATATATAGTCTGTCTATGGATGACAAATTTTTATATATATATATATATATATATATATATATATATATATATATAAGTGAACATAAAGGTCAACACTTAGAGGCGACAGTCTGTTTCATGCTAGATGCAATCGTCAGGTCAGTGCTGTTATTTTTCTCGGCTATTTAGATATAGAGGTTAGTGGTGCATTGTGGGTAGTTTATTTTGCCGGTTATTTTACCGGTAGTCGTTTATTTATTTATTTGAGTTAAATTATTTTGCTTTATTTATTTATTTTTATTTTTTTATTTTTTATCTTATTTATTTATTTTATTTTTATTTTAATCTGTGTTTTTATTAACGTACTAAAAGTTGTTTATATCGCTTATTTAATAGTTTTGTTTTGGTTTAGGAATATAATTGATACTATTTATTCAATTTTGGGGTTGATTGCTGTAGTTTATTTTAACTATTATTTTGGCGGGAACAGTTTTTAATTTGTTTATTACTTCATGTATTTATTTGGATTGATTATCTTTAATTGTTTTTTTCTAACGGTTAGTTTATCGGGATAGGTTTGTTAGTTTATTTATTTATTTGGATGAATTTAGGTCAATTTATTTTATTTGTTATTATTTATTTTTTATACTGTATATTTTCTCTTTTCGGTTGTAGATTTTTAAGTAACGTAGTATTTTTTTATCGTTATATAACAGTTATAGCTATTTTTTTCGTCCGGTTTTTGGTTTGATTTTTATAGTCTAACTGATATTTTGGTCATAATGGTTTGCTAATTTGTTTATTATTTACTTTATTTATTTAGGTTCATTGATTTTGTTTCTTTTTTTATTCTGTTTCGTCTATTCTAACAGGTGTGATTTGATAATTTGTTTGGGTTCATTATTTTTGCTTATTTTATTGTCATTTTTTATTTATTTATTTTTATGATAATAAGCAATAAAATAATATGCTCTTTCCCAGAAATTGTAAGTAAGATCTGCTCAGCATAGTTACAGTATAAACCACAAGTTGGCTCTGTGGATGTTAAATATAAATGCGCCCGCGCAAGCGTCTGCAATAGGAATTGGCTAGCCGCGTTAGTAGACAGGTATCCTCCAATACGAGTAGCCAACTATATATATATATATATATATATATATATATATATATATAATGATACATGAGCACATTATCGTTGAAAGAGGAAATGATTTTTGTTGATATATGGATGTCGAATATGGCAGTGTAATGACATTAATTCATATAGAAATTGTTTAATGTCATACGTATAAACTAAGTGACGTTCTGTATATTACAAAACCTTGCGAATTAAACCCGAATGTCTTCATTAAATTAGACCCTTCACTTATTCTGCACGTTCTTGTGATCTGTTGCGTCTGTATAAAAACTGATCAAATATTCTTTTCATAAAAAGAATAATGAATTCGGGAGAATTTATCGATTTCTTTCGCTCGGTGAGCATAGCACTGAACAAGGAAGGCATTAGAAAGTACAAAATATAATTCAAAGTGTGATGTAATATCCAGATATGGAAGACATGAGACAACAAAAAATTCGGTTTGTGATATGTTTTTCAGTCTTATTTTTTTAATGGCAAAATGGTTTCGCCATAGATAGCCAGAGCATCTGATGACAAGATTCTAAGTGTTTTAGATGAGAAACAAATACAGTCTTTAAGAGTCGAATCTGCAGAATTGTTGTGGAGTAGTTTTCACAATGGAGGCTTGTATTTCAATAAGTCGTCCTAAATTAGGTTCGACGTACAAAACGCTAGGAACTTGGAAAATAAGAGTTAATGACGCAGAAATCTAGTTGTGATGGTTGGTACTTCAATGTCCGATATCGACTGACTACCTCAACACCATTGAGCCGAACTGGCGACTGCTACTACTACTTATTACTTATTATCTGTGGGAGAGTCCATTACAATAGAATAGGTAACATGGCATGAGAAGAATATAAGCAGATGTGGAAAAACTTCCTGTTACAAATCAAAGATCTCTTACTTCGTCGTATTTGCAACTTGAGAACGGGCTTTCTCATAGTAAATCAAGTCAACATTTCTTGCCAATAAAATCTTCTTTTCTCTTTGTTTATTTTTGTCTATTGTACATCTTTGATCTAAATTGTCATGGAAAACTTCCTCTGTTCTGACGAACCGCTGAATTCTTCTTTCTTTCTATATACATTTCTTTTTTTTTCCCCGTATATCTTTTTTTGTTTTTTTTTATTTCTTTCTTTCTCTCTTTCAATAGGCTTTTTTTTTCTTGTATTTCTCGGAAGTTTTTCTTTCTTTCTAAATTTCTTTCTGTGTGTGTTTCTTCAACTATTTCTTTCTTTTTTTTCTTCAATTTCACTCATTCTATATTTCGATGAGCTTTTCTTTCCGTATTTCTCGGAAGTTTTCTTTCTACATCTCTTTCTTTCTTTTTTACTTTATTTTCTAAATGCCATTCTTTCTTTCTAATTTTCATTTATTCCGGACTTTTTCTTTCCAAATCTCTTTCTTTCTTTCTTTCTACATTACTTTTACTTAATTTCTTTCCTCATTTCTTTCTTTCGAAATGTCATTTTTACAAATTTCTTTCTTTCTATATTTCTTTCTTCCTTTGTAAATTTTATTCTTTCCGCTCTTCTTTCTTTCTATATTTTTCTTCTTTCTATCTTCTTTCTTTCTTTCTTTCTTTCCGCATTTCTTTCTTTCTTTCTTTTTTTCTTTCTTTCTTTCTTTCTTTCTTTCTTTCTTTCTTTCTTTCTTTCTTTCCGCATTTCTTTCTTTCCGCATTTCTTTCTTTCTTTCTACATGTCTTTATTTCCTCGTTTCTCCCATGATGCCTTTGTTCCACATTTCTTTCTTTCTACATCTCTTTCTTCTTTCTACATTTTCTCTTTACCAATTGCCTTCTTTCTAAATATCATTATTTCCACATTTCTACATTTCTTTCTTTCTTTCTTTCTTTCTTTCTTTCTTTCTTTTTAAATTTAAATTTTTCCGCACTTCTTTCTTTCTATATCTCTTCACTTCTTCCTTTCTTTCTACATTTCTTTCTAAATGTCATTCTTTGTACATTTCTTTTTTCTTTCTTTTCTTTCTTTCTACTTTTCTAAATATCATTATTTCCACACTTCTTGCTTTCTACATTTTTCTCTATATTTCTTTCTAATTTTTTTTCTCACATTTATTTGTTGCTACATCTTTCTTTCCTTTTTCTTTCTTTCTCTTTTTAATTCTTACCTCATTTCTTACTTTCTACGTCTCTTTATTTTCTCAATTGTTTCTTATCTTCTTTCTGCTACCATGCTTTTCTTTCTGCATTTCTTTCTTTCCACATGTCTAACTCAATTTTTTTCTTTTACAGTTCTTTCTTTCTTCTAGCATTTGTCTCTCTCATACGAGCCAATAAATAAAATTTATATGATGTTAAATCTATCTTAGAGTCAAAGAAACAGATCCGTTTTCTCTTGCTTTTAATGTAATAAAAAGAAACAGACGACAACCCCTCAACCTTTCTCTAATCCAATCAAAATGATTCTGTAACTGTTTATATAACTTAATCAAACAAACAGATGTCTCTTATTACGTATAGCTTTCATTTTATTCGTCACCCTTCATGTATTCTTTGGTAATTAGTGTAAACTTGAAAAATAAAATTATTTAGAAGAGCGTCTGACTTGAAAATTAGATGGAGAGGAAGTATTCAGAAATATGTTAGCAATTCTAGGTTTGAAAATGTAAAACCGGTGTAAGAAAATATACTCTCACCATGGATTTTTTTAAAATCATTTCATCCCAAGCAAGGCAATAAAATCCACTGAGATACAAGGGGTTAACAATAGTGAAAGAAACAGGAAGACAATAAAAGAAAACTCAAGGAGAAAGAAGATGACGATTGACATTGCTATTAAATTTTTGAAGATCATAGTTGACAGGAAGTCGGAAAACCGGAAGTGGATTCCACAAGCAAGAAGTGCGCGAGAAGAAACCATTAGCTTTATGGTTAGAACTAGCAATTTCAACAGTGAGATTATGAGACCTAGCTGCCAATCTAGTAATGCGCTTAAATTCATGATGTCGAGCTACCAAAAAGGAAATCTCATCAGAAGAATTGCCATGAAAATATTTATGGAAGGGGCAAAAGGAACATATGTTATGGTGGTGGGAAACTGACTGAAGCCAAGACGCCAGATCAGGACCGATAACATTTCTGAATTTTCTTTGGATTTTATCGAAAATCTCTAGACACATAGAAGACGCCACAGATCAGATCTGATTGCAATATTCGATAAACAGGTGAATAGTGATTTTCCAAGCATAGCTTAGATGTGGCACAAGGCCGAAAGTAAGGGACACCTAGTGAGAATCGAACTCACTACTCAAGCTTGCTAACCATTACACCACGTCGAGGTGCCCTAAACAGGTGAATAGTAGACTTATAAATCTGCAAGATGTCTACAGTGAAGCGACTTTCCTAGCAGTAGACTTAGCGATTGATTCTATAAAATCGTTTCACTTCATGTCAGTTGAAAAAAAGAGGAGTGCAAGAAAACGCAGTATTTTTTTCTCCTTAGTATCAGTCTTAATGATGGAAAACAGAACGTTCTTTAAAATGCATTGGGTTAAATTTGCCAATGAGTATCTGCGTATCGGCATATTTTTTACTCAGCTGATCTGAATATAAGAATAGTATAGGTGAAGTACTTTTTATGAAAGGAAATATAAAGTAAAGAGAAAATAACAAACCCAGAAAGATAAATGCGGGAAAAAATAGCCACACTGCTTCAAGAAAGGTTATATGATGCTAAATAAAAAAAAAATGGAATGCTGGGAATGGATTAAAAAAAAATAAGAAAAAAAAAGGAAAGAAAAAAATAGCGGAAACCAACATTGCGTATACAATTTGCTGGAACCCCACCCATGATAAGGGCTATGGAGAAACCAGCCGACGAATTCCTCGTATGGCAGTCAGTTATAGAAGAGAACCAACGAACTTACTTTTTCGTGTTTTTACCACTTCATAAACGGCTTTATATAACAGGATAGTTAGGAAGGTTCCTTTCTTACGGCAAAATAAAACCAAATCGGAGTGGAATGCTGATTAAAATCACGTGTTGTGCCGATCAAGAGTAGCCTGCCCACCTTAAAATCTGCATAGTTGCCTCCGTATCCACGATTTCTTTTTACATTGACTTTGTTACCGTTTCAAAGGGCAGGAATGTTTATTCTTTGGGATTAGAAAGACACAGGAGATTCTTATTAAATCAAATATTCAAACGATACGATCGCAGCGTAAATTAAGAGGCGGAAGGAAAGTTATTTAATAATAAGTATGGTTGCAAAAACGATGGCAGGATGGATTTTCCTCCAAAATAGTGTAATCCTCTTAGACTGCGAACTTACAACTGAAATATACTCTCAGTCAAGCTTAGATTGTTTTTAATACTAGAATTACCATAATACGAAGCTTGACAGCCAGTAAAAGTAGAGTACTGTTAAAATGGCTATGATTTTGAATCGTTTAACACCAAACAAAGCCACAATGCCACTAGAACGTAGCGGATTACAGGGAGTGAAAGTGAAAGAGAATGATAAGACTGAAAATGTAGAAGCACGAGGAAAGGAGAAAAAAAAGGAACAGGGTTCAAGAAGACAGAAGATGGCGATTGGCGTTATATTTAAGTTGTAATTATCATGGAAGCAAGAATTCGGAAGAGGTTTCCACAGGTGGGGAGTGGGAGAAAAAAATCTTTTAGTGGCATTTGTATCTAGCTAGTTCAACAGTAAAACGGTGAAACCTAGTTGCCAATCTAGTAACACGCTTAAATTTATGTAATCATAGCACCATATAAAAAGTTCATCCGAGCAATTGCCATCAAAATATTTGTAGAAAAGAGAGAGGGAAGCAACCGCAAGTCTGCGAGAAAATGAGTGGCGACGAGATGCCTAGTCAGGATCGACTGTATTGCAGACAATTTCTCTGGTTCTTGTCAAGAATCTCGAGATACCCAGCAGGAGCGCTGTTATATTCATATGCAGATCTCCACCATATAAATTACAGTAGATACAACTGGAGCCTAAACCAGTTCTGGTCTTGAAGACGAAACTACTACAGAAATAGTAGTAAATACTTCCGGCTAATTATAGCTTACCACATTCTATTCACTACTAATCTTTTTTGCTTCGGATACCAATATGGACAGGGTACTAAAAATTAAAATTCTGGATCTAGATAGTAAAACCTATTGAGGCAGCGAAAATATCGAACAATTGGCATCGAACATTTTTAAACTCCCTCAAACATATTGAAGATGAGAAGTTGAATATTCTTATAAAATACGTGTCGTCTGAATTATACAAACTGTTCAGCGAATGTACAAACTTTGAAGAAATTATTAACATTCTAAAACTTTTGTTCAAGAAAAAAGTGAGATCTACAGCAGGCATATATATATAGTCCGTTTGAAGACTTTGTATGTAAATAGCGATAGGGAAGCGAGAGGCTTGCTTCGCGTTTCGTCTTTGGGAAACAGAGGTAGTCGCATTGAAAATAACTCATCACCCACAGACTGAATGTGCAGCTCCTGTCCATATATGGCAGCAGTACTCAATTTTCGGCCTGATCTTGCTCTTGTAAAGGTAGAAAAGAAGGTGTCAGGTACCTACTGGAGGGGTAACATAGACAAACCATTTTTCCAGCATCTTTAACTATAAATAAATTGTGTGACATGAATGAAAGAGAAGATGGTAGGAAGTGAAGATTATGAGAATTGATGGCGACTGATCATTGAGTTTAAGAAATAATTCTTTACTTAGTAATGGTCCAAAACTGCAAGAGTAGTGATGACAACAATTGGGATATATCAAAGAGAATCCGTGAAGTGATTCCTTTAAGTAAAAAGATAAACATTCGTCACTTATTATAGAAAGAAAAAATCATGTGCTAATGTTGCTAAGATTTACGTTAAAAACGAATTACCCATACACACATAATTTTAATTAAAGCATCTTGCTATATTTATTCTGTAAGTTATTAATGAAATTAGTTATTATTTTAATTAGTTAATTAGTTAATTAATTATAATTAGTTATTATTATTAGTTATTAATAAAAAAAATATTTCAAGCTCAATTTAGGTTTATACTTCGTAACCATGCAATGAGATGTGGTAGATTTATCTGCGGAATATCATTACATTTTTTGTTATATAATTATACTGAAATCGTTAAGGTTTTTGATTAATTTGTAGTCTAACACCTGCACTGAGTTCGCATTAACAATTTCCAAAATACTTACGTTTATGTATAATTTTACATGCTCCATTCGAATCTGGCTTCATAAATTTGATAAAATCTACCGTTTTGGAGTTATCGACAGTGAAAATTTGGATTCATTCACGTCGCGGGCATCCACTACAGGCGTTGTTTGTATACATTCGCTGCAGAATAGCTATCAGTGTAGGTATCATTGCGTAAACTGAGCGTGTCTACGTAAATAGTTCTCGTGCGCAGTAATTGCGACAAATTAAGACAAGAAAGATCATTTCCGAGCTTAGCTTTCCGTAGTCTTCTGCGTTTAGCTTTCAGCAGCGAATGTATGCAAACAACGCAAGTAATGGCTGCCGCCAACGACGCAAATGAATCCCAAATTTCACTGTCGATAACTCCAAAACGGTAAATTTTATCAACTTTATCAAGCTAGATTCGAATGGAGCACTCTAAATTTCAGAATTTCGCTATTGCCAATCAAAATGACTCTAAGAAAGCAACCTAAAAACATCAACAGAAAAAAGAGGTTACAAAGCGTAAACTAAATAGTTCTAGTTCAACTTACGAAACTTAGCATTGCAACCAAAATATTCTAAAACGCTGCCAATAACAAAAGAAAAAAATGAAAAATATCTAACAACAAATCGAATGTAGCATTAAAATTTATATTATTTTTATTTATTTATGTCACTAAATATATAATTGTCAACAATGTTTCCGTAAAACTTCATATTTCCTGTAATAAATTATTAATAAATATTATTATTGTTATTATTTTACTTAAGTGTAAGATAGTTCTACATTTACAATTCCTAACCATGAAAAAAAATGTTGATCAAAACTGCCTAAAACATTTAAGCGCGTATTGCCGCAAGATTATCAAATGTTGAATACGCCCCTCCTCCGACGGACGCGTCATATAGGGTTCGCTAATATACGCGATATCAGGTACCCGCCCTAGTCTTACGAAATATCCCCCGCGGATAAGAGAGAAATACTATATTCTGCAATCTGGCTCCTTATCAACGCGTATCTGCGTATCAGAAACGAGGTTTTTCTCTCAATAATAAAAGTTCTTCGTCAAAAAAAAAAAAAAAAAATACGATATAAAAACGGTAAAAGATGCGCTATACCCAGACGGAAAGTATTTACTCGGCTAAGCCACCCAGTGAGAAAATATCTCACTAATGCACTCATTTTCAGCAATATTATCTTGTCAACTACTCCTGAAGAAGGAGGCGCCCATTTCAAAAGGTTTTGCTACAATGACGGTGTGATGGTTTCTGTCTAAGCTCCGAAAGACTTGGTAATGTTAATGGTTATATTAGCCGTTTTCTTATAAGTAAACATTCGGCATTCATTGACTGAGCAGACAGTACTATTGTCGGGTTAAATTTATCAAATCTTTCTTCTAAATCTTTTTTTGGAGGAAAACATGTCTCTCAAGTCAAGGAGTTGCTATCACTCTTTCCAGTTTCCTTGCTAGCTTTTTGTTTGAAGTAGTGTGGAACGTCAACATCTTGATTATGTCAATGTTTTCTCATCGAGTTACATCTGCAGTCCGTTTGTTGCTGCCGATGAAAGTCCTCAAACGATGCTGTTGCCATTATTTCGGGAAATGCTTTGTTAGTGATTCTGTAGCGCCAGTCAACAAAACCTTTTTTAAATCTGAGAAAGCAGTTGTGTACAGATAATAATTTAGATTACTTACATTATTTACATTATTCGGACTGTTATCCTCATCTTCATTGATCTTCAATATTTACAATTGTCTTCAGGTGATTGGAATTTCGAACCGAACCCTTTATTTCGTTCACCGGGGAGGATTGGTCTAGTTCCACTTGTCATGCCTCTTCCTCTTCTTCTTAGTTATTTTCCTTTAACTCAAATCTCCAAGTTTTGGTTTCCCACTAATATGAACTCACAACTCTTTGGATCTAGTTGCTGGATCTAACCAACGTCTTTATCCGCTGGTCCGCGGGTCCTTGAGAACATCTGCGCATGAATTTCTGGTTATGATAAATCTAATGTCTCAGCATACATTTTGCATATATTGCAATTTTTCTGTTATTATTAATGCGTATTTTTTTTTTTTACCAGAGCTTATATTGCAATTTCTTTTGTTATTCATTGCTTTTCTCTAGCACTACTTATCACTGGTTTCCATAATGTATTCATTTCTATGCTTGGTCGGCTCAGGAGATTTTTGTGAGATATGTGTTGATTCCTTAAGTTTTTACAGTGATGTTCTCTGTCTATTGTTTCAACCTCGTCCCACAAGAGGCCATGATCTCCCTTTGCCCTCCATATGTGGTCATCTACGCTTGATGTTTCTAATTCCCCCCGTGTTACCGCTTTACGGGGTACTTGCAGCCTTATCTTAAAAGGGGTGGCCTGTTTCTCCTTTATATTTCTTACCACAGTTGCACGGGATGGCGGCCACACAATACTTAGTCAACACGCAGAAAAAAGTTTCAGTCTGCCTACCCTATGTGAATGGATTATCGGAGAAAATACAAAAGATCTGTCGTCCATATAACATCAGGAAAACCTTCAAAAGTGGTTCAACACTTCTCAGACGCCTCTTCCAATGTAACCCCCCATAGAAGAGAACATGACTGAGTCGAATTAAAGGGAAATAACTAAGACATCTGGAAGAGACATGGCACGTGGAACTAGAAGCATCTACCCCGGTGGAAGAATTAAAGTGTTAGGTTCGAAAATTCCAATCACCTGATAACATACGAAACGTTGTGAATATTGCAATAAAGATGAGGATAAGAGTCCGAATAATGTAAATCATGTAAGTAATCATAATACCTCATCTCAGAAATATAGACAGATAATTTAAATATTACAGAACCGATTTAGCCGTTCAGAAATATCTAACGGATATGAAAATTCCTACTATTCAATCATTTTTTCAAACTCTCATCCCTGTCCAGGTTTATTTTATTGAAACATTTTAATTGATGTCCCCCCCGCTCGTGGACTTCTACGGGTTTACATTATATTCCGTATGTAGTGGAGTCCTGAATAGATACTTTTAGTCCGCTGGAGGGAAGTTATATTTTATCTTTTTATTTTGGTCATACGATTGCTAATCCATTATCTATATCATGACACACCACATTTTATTGAAAACTTGAATTCAAAGAATGAGACGACCAAGAAAGAGTATTAGTCTGAGATAATCCTATTATAATTGTGCTTGTCCCTGATTTTCCTTATTTCGGACGACCGTTACCCACTGCCAATACCTGATAAATAATGGACTATTCCGTTTTCATCGTGGGGAAAGAGGGGAAAAGACACAAAGAAAGAAATAATGAAAGAAAGAAAACATGACAGAAAGAAATAATGAAGAAATGAAATAATCAAGGAAAGAAATAATGAAAGAAAGAAATAATGAAAGAAAGAAATAATGAAGGAAAGAAATAATGAAAGAAAGAAATAATGAAGGAAAGAAATAATGAAAGAAAGAAATAATGAAAGAATGAAATAATGAAAGAATGAAATAATGAAAGAAAGAAATAATGAAAGAAAGAAATAAAAGGAAAGAAATAATGAAAGAAAGAAATAATGAAGGAAAGAAATAATGAAAGAAAGAAATAATGAAAGAAAGAAATAATGAAAAACGAAAAATGAAAAATGAAATAATGAAAGAAAGAAATAATGAAAAAGAAAGAAAAGAAAGAAAATGATGAAAGAAATAATGAAAGAAAGAAATAATGAAAGAAAGAAATAATGAAGAAAGAAATAATGAAAAAAAAGAAATAATGAAAGAAAGAAATAATGAAGGAAAGAAATAATGAAAGAAAGAAATAATGAAGGAAAGAAATAATGAAAGAAAGAAATAATGAAAGAATGAAATAATGAAAGAAAAGAAATAATGAAAGAATGAAAGAACGAAAAATGAAAGAAAGAAATAATGAAAAAAAAACATGAAAGAATGAAATAATGAAAGAAAGAAATAATGAAAGAAAGAAATAATGAAGGAAAGAAATAATGAAAGAAAGAAATAATGAAAGAAAGAAATAATGAAAGAATGAAATAATGAAAGAAAGAAATAATGAAAGAAAGAAATAATGAAGGAAAGAAATAATGAAAGAAAGAAATAATGAAGGAAAGAAATAATGGAAGAAAGAAATAATGAAAGAAAGAAATAATGAAAAAACGAAAAAATGAAAGAATGAAATAATGAAAGAAATAATGAAAAAAAGAAATAATGAAAGAAAGAAATAATGAAAGAACGAAATAATGAAAGTAAGAAATAATGAAAGAAAGAAATAATGAAAGAAAGAAATAATGAAAGAAAGAAATAATGAAGGAATGAAATAATGAAAGAAAGAAATAATGAAAGAACGAAATAATGAAAGAACGAAAAAATGAAAGAATGAAATAATGAAAGAAAGAAATAATGAAAAAAAACATGAAAGAATGAAATAATGAAAGAAAGAAATAATGAAAGAAAGAAATAATGAAGGAAAGAAATAATGAAAGAAAGAAATAATGAAAGAAAGAAAGAATGAAAGAAAGAAATAATGAAAGAAAGAAAGAATGAAAGAAAGAAATAATGAAAGAAAGAAAGAATGAAAGAAGTGAAGATAGAAATGTTAAATGTCTGTTTCAGCGAAACTGAAGGAAGTTGTCAATTTCAAAGCATTTCATTTGTACCAACTTCTAAAAATAAGTATAAAATTAGTTAAAAAAAAAAAGAATATTAAAGTCGTTAACTTTTATTTAACGATGCGATAAGAGAATTTCTACGGATATTTTATTGTTTTTGAACTCACTATGTGCTTATTCAATCGTTAACTGAAGAATTAAGATTCATCAGAAAATTAAACTCGGAAAACTGAAATTTTCACAGGTCTTTCTAGTTGTTGTTATTATTATTATTATTATTATTATTGCTGTTGTTGTTATTATTATTGTTCTTCTTCTTATTATTATTATTGTTATTATTATTATTATTGTTGTTGTTGTTGTTATTGTTATTATTATTATTATTATTATTTTCTTTGATTTCTGGCGTTTTTACATTTTCTTTCCCGGTCCCGCCCAGGGACCTAAGGTTAGAAATGGCGTCTTGACACTTTCCACTGACAAAAAAAAAAAAAAATTACATAGATAAAGCCCTTCGTAAGGTGTGGGCTGTACTTGTCAGAACAATTTTTTGTATCTCCTTGAGGCATGGACTTCCAGGAATCCTTCAATTAGTCTACTGCAATCTTTTTCCAACCAGTCCTAGGGCTCCAACTACAACAGGGATTGTTGATGTTCCCATATGCCACATTTTCGAGATTTCTATTTCAAGGTCCTTGTACTTTGACAACTTTTTTGAATATCTTCAAAGATACATTGCAGTCAGCAGGGACTGCCATATCAATAAGGAGGCATCGTTTTTGTTTGTGGTCTTTAATAGCAATATCCGGGCCGGTTGGCCTTGATTGTTCTGTCAGTGTGTATTGTGTAGTCCCACAGAATTGTAACAGGTCCTATCTCCCGTAACCGGGTCTGGGTGGTGTTCATACCAGTTTCTTTCAATTTCCTTCCGGTAGAAGTTGCAGATTTTCCAGTGCAGATATTGGCCCACTCTGTCATGTCGGGTTTTATATTCAATGGGTGCCAACACCGTACAACCTGATACAAGATGATCAATCGTTTCTGGATATTTAACACAGAATCTGCATTTTGGACTGTCACAATATTTTAGTATATGTGATTGATAATTCCTAGTTAGCAAGCATTGGTCCTGTGCAGCAAGGATAAAACCTTCAGTTTCCGCTTTCAACCCTGCACTACGTAGCCACTGATGGGTACAGGTTTTGTCTACGTCAGCTTGTTTGGTACGGGCAGAGTATTGGCCATGAAGCGGTTTATCTTGCCATCGCTTCTGTAGCTGGTCGGTTGCATTCGTCGTTGCTGTCTTTTCTAGGTATTTTGCCGTTTCAGCCGGTGTATTGTGCTGTAGTTGCATCTCTACGCCCATTTGAAACCCCATTTTGAATTTGTTGGCTTCCTTCATTACGGGGTAAAGACGCTTACTACTTTCATGTTCCTTGACGCATACCATCGTCCAGCCTTCTGTAGTTTCCAAATATCTTTGGAGTCCAATTGTTGTAGTTTTGTAGGACAGTTCTAGTTGAACTAATCCTCTGCCTCCTTCAGATCTGGGCACATACAGACGATCGACATCAGCTATGGGATGATGCATGCGATAGCAAGTGAGAAGCTTTCTCGTTTTGGCATCCATTCGCTTAATTTCAGCTATGGTCCAGTCAAGGACATTAAAGCTGTATTGCACCACAGGGACAGCCAATGTGTTTATGGCTGATATCCTGTTTTTTGAGTTTAGCTCAGTATTTAGTACCAGACGTACACGCCTGTAGTACTCTTTTCTTATTTTTTCCTTCATTTGGGGGTGTTGTATGCCATCTCCTTCGCTAATTCCTAGGTACTTATAAGCTTCACCATGCTCCAGTTCCCTAATCTTTGTGACAAAATCTAAATCTATTAAGGGTGTTTCTGTAATTCTACCTTTCTTAAAAGTTACTTTTGCACATTTATCTAATCCGAAGTCCATACCTATGTCGTCACTGAAGTATTTTACAATATTGAGGAGGCCTTATTATTATTATTATTATTTTTATTTTCTTTGATTTCTGGCGTTTACACATTTCTTTCCGGGTCCCGCCGAGGGACCTAATTATTATTGTTGTTGTTATTATTATTGTTATTATTATTGTTATTATTATTATTATTATTATTAAAATGGTAAAAAGGATAATAATTAAAATTTTATGATTAAATCCAGTACTATTTTATTTTGGATAAAATGTTACATCACGAAAGTGAATTTGGTCAGCTAGGTCAAAGTATGGAACGATGGAAACTGATTAAGGTAATAAAAAAACATAGTTCCCATAAATAAGTTAACATCGTCTGCTGAATTATTTCTCTTAATAATTATTTAATTATTAAGAGAAATGTTCAAATTTGGCTAGAAAGAAAGAAAGAAAGAAAAAAGAAAGAAAGAAAGAAAGAAAGAAAGAAAGAAATAAGGGAAGATAAAAATATTTAACGTCTCCTGCTAATACCTCATAAATAATGAACCATTCCGTTTTGATCATATGAAAAGGGGAAAAAACACTACTTGATTTCAACGAGAAAAAATGAAAGAAAGAAAGAATGGAATATAAAAGTGTTTAGCAGCTGTTTCATTAACATGGAAAAAAATTGTCAATTACAAATCTTTTCATTTGTAACCACTTCTAAAAATAAGTATAAAATAAGTAAAAAACGAGTCTTCATATTTATGATTGCTATTGCAATATTGTGTTAATATCGTAAAGCTCAAATATTTAACGATGCGATAGGGGAATTTCTACGGATATTTTATTGTCGGAGAACTCACCATGACCTTATTCAATCATTAACTAAAAAATAAAGATTCATCAGAAAATTAGGAAAACCATGAAACTTCCACGGCTTAAAACTAGTATATCTAAATGTATATCTTTGTGGTATATCAAGGTTTTATATAGCACCGAAATTTTGGTGTGCCGTAGTCTGGTCGTTGGGGATTAAATCGTTTTCCACACTAGTTTTTTTTTTTTTTTTTCTGGCGACATGAGCAACAGGTAAATTACAAAGACAAACATTCTATTGTTATAAAATCTGCATTCCGTTCTTATAAGGATTTTAAAAAACACGCGCGATATTTTAGGATTTTTAAATTTATCATTGTGTCTACTTATTTTTATACTGATCCTTATCAATTGTCTAATTATTTTGTTGGGAGATGAGATGAAATTCGCCAAGGAAGGCGCCATAGTTTTTTTAAACCCAAGTACTTTCATCCTCAGGGTTAAATTACAAAGACAAACATGCTATTGTAACTGCGATAAAATCTTCATTCCGTTCCTATAAGGATTTTTAAAAACACGCGCGATATTTTAGGATTTTTAAATTTATCTGTTCTAGTTATGGAGTATTTTGCAAAACAAGCGTTTCAGTATAAGGAAGCTGAACGGGAATTGGTAGAAATGTAAAAATTGCATTTAAAATCACTAAAATAACTGCAACAGAGCGCGTTTGTCTTTGCAATTTATTCTGACGATGATGTTAGAAAAGGTCGAAACTACTTGGGTATCTGTCTATATTTCTGAGATGAGGTATTATATACACAATTTACATTATTCGGACTATCTTCCTCATCTTTGTTGCCATATCTAAATAGAACAGTCTACCCCAGCGAGTGAAATAAATGATTCACATCGACATTCTAACCACCTGAAGAAAAGCCGTAACGCTGTGATAAATATGTCAACAAAGATAAGGACAATAGTCCAAATAATGTAAATAGTGAAACTACTTGGACTAAAAAAAACTATGTCGCCATCCTTGATGAATTTCATCTTAACATTAAAAAACTGATTATACAACTGGAAAGGATTAGTATCAAAATAAGTGGACACAAGATGTCAATATATTATTATTATTATTATTATTAGGTTGTCACACGGGAAATGACGAATGTTTTGGTTGGTTATTGATTCGATCGTCTAACGAAGAAACCTTTGTATATAAAATTCTTGACATATTCCTGACTCTTTTTCGTTCCAGATAATTTTTCTTTCATTGATGCTCATAAACCCAATAAAAAGTTATTAAAATGAAACAACGTTGAGTAATCTTACTCTGTGAGTACAAACTGGGAAAAAGAACCATTTTTGCATTGAATCATTACATGCGATGAGGAATGGATACACTTAAGACAACAGTAATAAGTAAGCCAGAGGTTAGATGCATATAAAATAATCACCCCCCAAAAATACCCAAAAATCCACTGCCCCCTAAAATGTTAATGCCGATTGTATGGTGGTCTTTCAAAGGGGTTATTCATTATTTATTCATGCCTCAAGGGAAAACAATACGAGGTTGCACGAAAAATTGAAAAAGAAACATTCTAGACTTGTGAATAAGGATGACCCAAGTTTGCTGTACGACTACCCACGTCAGCACACTTCTCAATTCACTGTCCAAAAGATGCATAGCTTGAATTATGAAAATTTGCCCCATCCTCCATTTTCTCCTGATATTTCTCCTACTGATTATCACTTATTTAAGCATTTTGAGCTTTTCATGTGCAACAAAACATTCTCCAATAAGGATGAGGTAATCGAAGCATTTGAACAGTTTATCAACATGATGGCTATTTCAACTAAATAAATTAGTTATTTAACATTTCAGAAGCGTTTTATTAATTTTATATAAAGTATGTTATTTATATATATATATATATATATATATATATATATATATATATATATATATATATATATATATATATATATATAGTCACACTAATGAGCTCTGAAATAGCGAAACAGTCTGTCTGCATGACAATGTGTGTGTGTGTGTGGGGGGGTCATTATTTAAACTTAAATCTAAATACATTCTTCTTATTCTAAGTAGAGCCCAATAGTGTTATAAAAAAATCGGATAATTCCAGTAACATATGTTTAATCATTTTTAAGATACAAACACTTTAAACTTAATCTAACATTTTGGGATTTTGGACAGTTTTACTGTTACAGACGGTCTATCTATCTATCTATCTATCTATCTATCTATCTATCTATCTATCTATCTATATATATATATATATATATATATATATATATATATATATATATATATATATATATATATATATATATATATTGAATAATAAAAATATTAAAAAAATAAAATCTTCAGACACACTGGGTGGTATATTGATATTCCTTCATTTTTATTATTATTTCATTTAGATTCCTCGACTAGTTTCGGCCAACATAGCCATCATCAGGAGAAAGATAATTTTCTGTTTGCTAGTAGCAGTTAAGTACAGAAATGAATGTCTTGATGGAGAAAATGAACTTTTGTCTGTAGTTTTCATTTGTTTTTTTGTTTTTTAACATGAATTTTGGTCAGTCTTTGTGTTGGTCAAACAGTCTCTTTTAAGTTGACATCTGAGATAAGAGCTGGATGGATTCACGCTGCTCTGAATTCCCTTGGTCATTTTGACAGTTTTTGTTGGTTCCTGGAAACGGAATGTGTCTCTGTTAAGTGTGTTTGGTTCTTAGGAAGCGAGTGAGCATGATGTGTGTAAGCGTGTATCTTACTATTGGTGTGTGTTATCATTTGGCTCATTAGACTGTAAGAAATGTGGGTATGTTTTGATTTGTAAAGATATATATTAATATTATCTATATTATTAAATTCATAGTTAAGCCCGGCTGGATAGTGCATTTTTAAACGTTGTATCCACTTTTCATGAAGTCTGAAATCTTTCTAATGTTATCTGCTTTGAGCTTTTCTATTTTCTCAATTATAGTGAATTTGGCATGGGTTTTAAAATCGTGTTTTTCTAGACGGAAATGTTGTTCTATAGGTAATAATCTTTCATGGGGAGTCGACTTAATTCGATTGCGATAATTCTGTAGTGAAAGGGTCATTCAAATTTTCCTACATATTGTTTCTGGCATACTGTGCATTGTAGGAGGTAAATTATGTTATGGCTTCTACAGTTAGAGTCGTGGTAGATTTTGAAAGTAGATTTAGTGACAGCTTGTAAATGAATTCGTGTGTTTAATGTGGTTGCAGCATAAGCTTCTTTTGTTGTTACATGGTTGGGAAAATGCTGTAGTTGTTTATTACGAATTATCTTGTCCCCTGAAATGTGGTTACTACCTATGATTTCTTTTAGGTTCTTAGGTCTACGATATGCTAGAAGGCCGGGTTCCTTAAACAATTTTTTTAGATCTTGTTTGAGATGTAGTATTTCCCAGCGACTTTTGATTATTTGGGATAGTGGAGGCAGAGTGGGATTGAAAGTGGTTACTAGAGGGATGCGGCTAGATTTATTTTTAATCTTGTATATTAGGGTGTCTTCTCTAGGTGTGGAAATTGCTTTATTTATTTGTTCCCTGATTAGGTGTTGTTTATAGCCACGTGTTGTGAATTGATGCTTCAGATTTTCAATGTGTTTATTTAATTCTTCATTGTTGGAACATATCCTTCTGAGTCTAAGTGCTTGTGAATAGGGAAGGTTCTCTTTGAGGTGTTTAGGGTGGGAAGACTTAAAGTGTAGATAGTTGTGGGTGTCGGTGATTTTAGTGTTTAGTGTCGTTTGTAGTTTCCTGTTTTCATCTATGTAAATGCAGGTGTCTAAAAATGTTACTGATCTTGTGAATTTTCATCGTCAAACTTAATTGAGTCGTGCGCTGTGTTTAGGGTCATGAAGAATTGTTTGTCGTCACTGCCCGTGTATACAAATAATATATCATCGATATATCTTGCATAGAATACGCAGTCGCTACCGATGAAGGGATAGATATGGGTCTCCTCAAATTTTCCCATGGATATTGTAGCATATAATGGAGCTGCAATGGTGCCCATGGCACAGCCTCTTACTTGAAGGTAGTTTGCTTCATTGAAGTTGAAAGTATTCAATGTAAGAATATGCTCCATGAGTTTTATGATAACTTCTGGGGGGGTCTTGTTTTCTTCTTTTAGTAAGTGCTTCCTGAAGGGCGGTTAGCCCTTCGATGTGTTTAATGTTTAAATAAAGTGATCTTACGTCCATAGAATAGGATTAAATAAAGTGATCTTACGTTCATTAGAATAGCGTTCTCTGGAACTGTTTGTATGTGATTAATTGTGTTTAGTAGATCTGTTGTGACTCTGATGTAGGATTTTACTTCCTTAGCTAGGGGTTGTATGTAATGGTCTACTTTTTTGGAAATTTTGGTCGTGTGGCAGTTGAAAGATGAAATGACCGGCCTTCATGTGTTGTTGCTTTTGTGTATTTTAAGAAGGAGATAAAAGCAGGCAGTTGTGATGTTTGTGGGTGTATGTGCTGTGCATGTTTCCTTGTCAATTAGATCGTTGCAAAGCGTTATGTTTAGTGAGCTAGTTAATTCTTTTTGGTATTCGGGAAGAGGATCTGTAGGTATGCTTTTATAGGTTTCTTTGTCTTTTTGTTTCTTTCTTATATATATATATATATATATGCTGTTACAAATGGCATATCTATCTATCAATGTGTTCATATATATATATATATATATATATATATATATATATATATATATAGTGTTTTTCCGAGCGTAGCTCAGATGTGGCACAAAATGCATGGGGTACCCAGTGAGGATCGAACTCACTACTCAGTCGTAATTGTTCTAGAAAGACAACCATTACACACCAACCATTTATATATATATATATATATATATATATATATATATATATATATATATATATATATATATATATATATATATATATATATATATATATATATATATATATATATATATATATATATATATATATATATATATATATATATATATATATATATATATATATATATATATATATATATATATATATATATATATATATATATATATATATATATATATATATATATATATAAACAATTATTATATATATATTTTTAATTATTTGCACATTAATATAATATTAATTGTCGATATTGTCGCTAATATATAATGGAAGTTTTAACCATTACACCACCTCGATTGAGATAAATAATTAAAGTATATATATATATATATATATATATATATATATATATATGCTTTTAATTATTTGCACATTAATATAATATTAATTGTCGATATTGTCGCTAATATATAATGGAAGTTTTTCCTGTTTGGTAAACTGGGCGTGAACTATCTGGACGCTTTTTAAAGAGTAGCTGTTAGGACGCATTTACATTTGTAAAAATGTAAAACCTGGTAATAAATCTTGCTTTGCTTGGGCTGTACTTGATTAAAAAAAAATGACATTATAACGAACAGCAATAATTCAGAAATTATTTTGCTATATTTTCAAGGTCTATATTTTGCCCTCTCGTCTATATTCGAAAACACTTGCTATATTTCTCTTATTCTTTGTCTGACATGAAATAAAATGAATTGTATTTGATGGCGTCGTATTACAGTATTATATTATTAGGCCCTGTACAAGCACTGGTAAGTTACGACGTACGCATGAACACAAGCTCAATAAAAGCCTCAGTTTCCCATACACAATTCTGGTGATACTTCCTAGCCACTTTGGAAGGGCGAAAAAAAAAAAAAAAGGCGCGAATTTTGTACTCTACTAAAACAGTATATGATTTGAATGAATTAAGGAGTCTAAGGCCGAAAGCAGATTTTAAGATCGTAATTAAATGAAATCCAAATTTTCACAATCATTTCTTTTCGATTTCTCCCTCGTGTCTCTTTTTTCTGTTTCACTCGGTCTAGAGTCATCTTTGCTACAGTCAACGATGTCTGCGAATGTCTCCACCATTGCATATTTCGCCGCCATTGCATATACCGGCGCCATCTTCTCAGATAAATGACGTCACACTATGTTATTATTATCGTTGTGTGTCAATTGGCGTTAGTAGTTTTGCCACTTTGTAATCATGGTAACAGCTTTGGTGGTAATAATGGCTGTGATTCTAGAATGGAGGTGATGGAGAGAAGGGTAGAGGCGGCGGTGGGGTTGGGTAAGAAGGAAGGGAATTCAAGGATGGATTTAAATTCGTTTACTGGCTGGAAGAAGAAGAATCTGAAGAAGAAGAAGAAGAAGAAGAATCTGAAGAATCTGAAGAAGAATCTGAAGAAGAAGAAGAAGAAGAAGAAGAAGAAGAAGAAGAAGAGGGCTAATAATAATAATGATCATGATGAAACAATTAGATTATAAACAGAAGAACTAGATAGGTGTGGAGGCGGAGTAAGAGAAGCAGTTAGAGGTGAAGGCTAAGAAGAAAAAAGAAGAAGAGTAAATAAAGAAAAAGAGAGAAAGAATGGAAAATAAAGAAGAAGAAGAAAAAGAAGGTGTGTGAGGAATTGTTAAAAAAAGAGTAAGAATAAACGAAAATCTCTTTTTTTTCATTTATACTTCCTCTTTTTTTTTTAACTCTTTCAAGAGTTATCAGTTCCAGTTCAAGACATGTTCGTTATATTCACTAATTGAAAATACCATTGGGAAATGTATGGATCCAGCCATTCACCCCAGTTATGGGTTAATTAGTAGAACTTGTTATCTGCAAAAAAAAAGAAAAAGAAAAGAAATCCTACAATTTAAAAAAAAAAATATTTTCTGACTTTAAATAACCTGGAATGGGTTGATAACCTTAAAAAACAAAAAAAAAATGAATCAGTCAACCTTTTCAAGTCGGAATGAAAAGAAGAAAAGGACAAGAAAGTCTGAGTAAAGGAGTTATAGGAAAATTATAGGAAAAAAAAAGAAAAGAAATTAATTAGAGGGATGATCAAAATAAGCAAGAACGAAAAACATGTTGGAATGAAAACGTAATAAAAGAGAGGAAGATGTTAAAGTGGACGAGAAGGTAGAAGAGACTAAGAACGATAAATGGTTTCGTTGGGTTTGTTTAGCGGCATATCAACACCTTCATGGGTTATTTAAAGCCAAAATCTAAATATTTTGAATTGTATGCCTTCAACAACAGCTGTTTTGTACATAATTTTATACTTTCAGAGTAAACGTATATTTTATAGATATACTATCTTAAAAGCCTCCCTATCGGGCGGCATTTAAGCTAGCTCTTGTAGATGGCTCTTGATTAAGGCCTCCGTCACAACAGAAAAGGAGGAATAGATGCGATAGGCAACAATAAACTACAGAAGATATCAAAATTGTTCGCTGCTTTTAAGTATTGCATTAATATTTAAGCTTGCCTTTTAAAAGTTCAACGATAGTTCTTCTGCCGCCACTAAATTTAAAGACAATTTAATGTAAGTCGTCCTTACTTTCCGTACAAATAATAATTTTTATTTCATAGGTGACTCTCACTGGATTTAGCAATTAATTAGTCCCAAATTTATTTCAAAATTATAAAAGACTAGCAGCAGAGCACGGCGTTGCTCTGGGATGTAACAGTAAGAGATAGATCAAGTATCGACCATTATAAAGACTGAAAAATAAAATTGACAAAGATTATTGTTTAAGGTTGACGGACACGCATGTCTTAATTATTATTATTATTATTATTATTATTATTATTTTTTTTTTACGAATTGGTCAAACCCAAACTCAAACAAAAACATTGTTTTCAATCGTTATGGATCTACCGATTGAATAGAATTTTATTATAAACAATTGTCTTGTAAATGGAATTTTTAAAGAATTCTGTATTTAAAAATAAAGAAAAAAGTGTGCAAGACAATAAGAAACACTACCTGCCAAAGAAAAGTGAAGTTTTGTTGAAATCGGTTGAAAAATGTAGGAAATCCGATCCCATATATAAACGAACACACACACACACACACACACACACACACACACACACAAACAACCTGGGTTTTATAAGTATAACTCGATATGAGTTGTCCCCCTTTCATTCTTGTGATGCCTCTTAATTGTGTTTTCAAATTGATTTCGTGCAAAAACAGTTGTATTTTTCCAATTTTTGTCGCTGTTAGAACCACCGCAAGGTAATTTTTTGTAGTCCTGTGAAGTTTTGTTGAAATGGGTTGAAAATGTAGGAAATCCGATCCAATATATAAACGTACAGACACACACACACAATCTGCGTTTTATAATAAGTAAGATGTTATCGTACAAAAAAATTCATCGCAAATATCATGTAAAAAATCGCCGAAAACAATCGAAGTAATGAAAACTTGGGAATCCAAAATTTCAGAATTGCGGGTCCGGATCTGGACCGGATTGTTTTTAATTTGTTCACGGAGTCGGCCGGCTTCCAAAATGGTATATGCAGGGCTACGGCCTCTTAGAGTAAAGTTCAAAAAGTGTGACATAGTTCAGACTCACATTCGCATATATTATATAGTTTGGTTTCGTTGACTTTGTTTAGCGGCGTATATACAGCGATGCGTTATTTGATGCCGAAATCTAAATATTTTGAGCACAATTTTTATGTCTTCAGCTACAGATAAAATCTATTGTTGTCCATTTTACTATAAAATATATTGTTTGTAATTTTACTACAAAAATGTATTTTTTTACTTCCATAGTCTTTCTTTTGTGTGGAGGATTCACTATTTGCCCATAGCTGGGACCCTAGAAGTTGCTAGGGTGAACGTGCGGACAAGAGCAATTAAGAGGTGGTTCTACACTCCTCAAAACTTCCAATTTCCAGATCAGAAGCCTTGCTGCCGGATGTAGTTTATCCTCATACCCAGGACTAATAACGATAAAAGACAGGTGGTAAAAAAAAGGGAAAAAGAGAACGAGAAAAAGATCAGAAAGAATAAAAAAATGAAGAGAAAGAAAAAAAAAGTAAATAGCAGAAAGGGAAGGGGAGAAAAAGAGGAGGAGAAAGCGAAAAAAAAACGGAAATAAAATGTCAGCCGTAAAGAACAAGCGGCTTATGGAAACATCACGTTGAAACACCGTTCCCGATGAGATCGCTGAAGTTAAGCAACATCCAGCTTGGTCAGTACCTTGATGGGTGGTCGACTAGGACTACCAAGTTCTGTAATCTTAGATGTACGATATGTGTTTTGGATAATGGCTTGGAATTGTTACTCGGAGAGCAGAGTCCCTATTCCAGTTTGTTTCGCTATATTCACCCGTGCAAATACTCTTGGGAAAGATATGAATCGACGTTTTCTCCCCCAGCAATGGATACACTAATAAGACCTACATCATTAAATAATTATTATCTCAAAAAAAAAAAAAAAAAATTAGAATCTAAAAATATTTCCTGTTCACTTGTAGAAAAGGCGGAGAAATTGTCACACATTTAAATGAAGAAGAGAAGGAAAAGAAAGGAAGGAGGAAAAGAATGAATAAGGAAGAGAGAAGAAAAAAGAAAGAAAATAAACGAACACGTGAGAAAAAAGCGATCGAAAAGAGAGAGAGTGTTCGATTGTAGAAATGCAGTGAAATAGAAACATGCACTCAAATGATGAAGAGAAAGAAAGAAAGGGAACAAATGGAAGAAAAATAAATAAAAGAGAAGAAAAAAGAGAATAAATTTAGGAAAGAAAATGATCGAAAGAGAAGACAAAGAATATTCCCTTGGGAGAAAGAAAGAAAGAAAGAAAGAAAGAAAGAAAGAAAGAAAAAAAGAAAGAAAGAAAAAGAAAGAAAGAAAGAAGAAGTAGTGGTTATAATAGCAGTAATAAATTGCGAAGGAGAAAGTGAGAAAAAAGAAAGAAAGAAAGAAAGAAAAAGAAAGAAGTCGTAGTGGTGATAATAGTAGTAATAATAAAAGTTAAGAAAGAAAAAGAAAGAAGCCGTAGTGCTGGTAGTAGTAATAAATAGAGAAGAAGGTTAGAAAGAAAGAAAGAAAGAAAGAAAGAAAGAAGTAGTAGTGGTAGTAGTAGTAGTAGTAGTAGTAGTAGTAGTAGAAGAAGAAGAAGAAGAAGAAGAAGAAGAAGAAGAAGAAAAGAAAGAAGTAGCAGTGGTGGTAATAGTAGTAATAAGAAAGGAAGACGAGAAAAAGAAATAAATAAATAAAGAAAGAAATAAAGAAAGAAAGAAAGAAAGAAAGAAAGAAAGGAAGAAAGAAAGAAAGAATGAAAGACTGTAGGACAAAAGAAAGAAAATATAAAAGAAAACAAAGAACTAACAAAAAAGTATGTCACAGTGATCAACATTTTGGATTAGAGATTATAGAAAAAAGTTTCACGGAAAGTTCAATGAAGATAGAATTGTCCTAAATGATGAGGTGATCATATATAACACATAAAAAAAATAATTAAATGAATTTAAAAAAGAAAAATATAGAATCTGTACGTGGATTCTGTCTGTCTTTTCTGAAAATATTTTCATAGCAACATTTCTAATGAGCTTTTTCCCTTCTGTCTCGACTATATATTTAAGTGTGTTGCTTTATTGGCAACTAGGTCTCATCATTTTACGCTTGAACTATCTAGATACAACCACCACTTCTATTCTAACAGCTTCTTTTCTCGCACTGCTCATCTGTGGAATTCTTGCTTCAAATGTTACCTTCCGAATTCCTGCTTCAATTCTACCTACAAACTTCAAAAATTTAACTGCAACTTCAATCGCTGTTTTCTATCTTCCTGAATCTGTTCTTTTATTGTCCTTTTCTCAATTCCCCCATTAAAGCTTTCTTCATTCTCTTTCTAGGTCTGTAACACACTGCGCCCTAATGGCCTGGGGTAAAACAATTAAAAAAATCATATATATTTACAGTGGTATGTTGAAAAAAAAAGTCACAAAGTACTTTTCTTGTATGCTAGCAAGTGTTTTCTTTTCTGGACCTAATGAATGTAAAAAAAAAAGAAAAAAAAAAATGTCCAACAGTTTGGTGATTCCGAGCACATTCTGTTAGTCGTTTAATAGTTTAGCAGAAAGCACAAGTAATGAATAAACTTTTGAACATTTTTTTTTACATCCATTAAGGGAACACTTGTACGCGTATAAGAAAAAAAATCTAAACAAAATTACGTTGTGAGTCTTGTTGCAAGAAACATGTATTAAAGACGAACTATTGCCCAAATAGACAACTATTACCTAGAGACGCAGATATCAATACACACACACACACACACACACACACACACACACACATATATATATATATATATATATATATATATATATATATATATATATATATATATATCAAGTATGTGGTGCAGTTCAATTTACATTACATGAATCATTCATACAAAAAAACAGATATAGAAGTTAATGATTTAAATGGCGAGAATACATCTTCGCAAACAAATTTAATAAACTACATTAACCCCTGAACCTGTATATGAATGATATGATCCCTGTTTATAAATTCCAGTTGCATAAGGTCTTTTTTTTAGTTTTTTACAATTTTCGTCTGTTCCTACAGACATCTTCAGGTAAGGAAATAGATTTGTTTTTGTTATTTACTTCCCGATAATAACAGGACAACGAAAAATATAAATGTAATCCGAAATATGTTTTAAAAAAATGTGTTATTGTTAATTGTAAGAAATTCTTTGGCTCGTGCGGTCGCAACGCTGAGGTTGAAATTTTAAATTTTAAGATTGTGCGTTTTTGTACAATTTTAAAATTCAGAAGAAATTGGTATTTTTTGTATGAATGATTTATGTAATGTAAATTGAACCACACCACATACTTGATATTAAAATAACTGATCCAACGTGCAACTTTTGGATAATAACTGAGACATTCCTGTATTTATTGAACAATTTAGTTCATGCCATATTGACTGAAAAACCTACCAGTACAAAAGAATTCTCCTATTATCATATTAGTACAAAAATGCACAATTAACGTAACATTTCGACGCTAGAGGTTTGTAGACGGATTCTCCAGCAATCACTCCGTCCACTCATCAGGGGATATCAGTAATTCACTGTTTATACTTCTCGATTTTTCTTTTATATATGCACTTTTCATTGGTGCAAGCATGATTTTTTTTATAGATAGATAGTTAGATAGATAGATAGTTAGTTAGATTATCTATCTAACTAACTATCTATCTAAACTATCTATCTAACTATCTATCTATAAAAAAAATCATGATAGATAGATAGATAGATAGATCGTATAATCAAGTTTAAGTTCCGTCCTAGTCAGTTGTCTAAAATACTCATTATTATCCTTGAGAATGAGATGGATCTGTTTGTCTCACATACCCCCCTTCCACCAGATGTGAATTAAATATCAAGATAACCTGAGCTCTCCAGCCATGGGTGGCATCTAGTAATGAGAAAGATTACTCAGAATTCAATGCTGTGGAGAGGGCAACGGGGAGAGACTCCACTAGCTTCCCCAAGAAATCAACGTAATTCACAAACAATAACAAAATAGAATTTGTAGAGAGCCGCGATCAACAATGTCAAGGGATATGACATTTTTAACTATGTGGGGAAAACAAACTACCGCCTCCCACAAAACAGTGCAGGTGTGTGAAATGGTGCAGAAGTAGTGGAGAGCTGTGTTCAGATATTGGAAAAAAGATGAAAAAGAAATATAAGACAAATAAGAGTATGCGACTCTATAATTGAGAAGAAATTGGTATTTTCGTCAAAGTTTTAACAAAATGTTTTCTGTTATTAAGCCCTTTCCCGGCGTAGACGTGTATATACGTTTTTTATCGAAAGTTTTGTTTTCCGACACCGACGAATAAACATGTCCAAAATATAACGCTAAAAAAAAATTAAAAAAAACAACAGCTACAAACGTGTTTATAAGTCGATCTTGTTTCTTTTTATGCCCTTTTTGAGCTTGAAACGAGTCTAATTGTCAACTCATACAGTAGAGGTGTCAGCCATCGCTCGGGTACTTCAAGGTACCTCAGTTTCTTAGTTACTATATTAAATCAAATAAAAAAAAATCGTCTGAAAATGAAACGTTTTTTCTAACATAATTGGCTGGGAAAGGGTTAAAAATTCATATAATTATTTTTTTAAGCAATTCATCCCAAGCAAATCAAAAGTGCCATTAGCACGCAAGGGGTTACAGAGGATTGAGAAGAAGAGTAAAGAGGCGTGTCTGAGGAAAGGATATAGAGAAGGACGGGGAACAAGATCAAGATATCAGAAGATGTCAATTGACATTACACTTGAATATATGAAGATTTTAGTTATCAGGGAAGCAAACAAGAGGAAGGGAGTTTCTCAGACAGGAAGTGCGAGAGAAAAAGCTCTTTGAGTGGAAGAGACGGTTATATTAAACTGTTTCGACAGTGAAAGTGTGGGACCGAGATGCCAGCCTAGTAGCTCGCTTAAATTCATGCAGTCTGGGAACCAGCAAAAGTAGCTAGTCGGAACAGTGGCCGTGGAAATACTTGTTGGACTTTGGGGGCTTACAGTACCAGGTGTTCCCAAGCGGTCCCCCATCTGAGTACTGACCTGGCTCTACGCTGCTTAACTTCGGTGATCGTACGAGAACCGGTGTTTCAGCGAATTTTGACCCAAAGTCCAACCCTTACCTCACAGTCGGTGGGGGGGTGTAAACGGTAGTGTCAAAGCTATGCCGCCCGGAACTTCGTTCCTGGTAGGGCCACCCAAGGCGGACAGGTCTGACACACACGCCGGCTAACAAGGGCTCTGGTTAAAATCCAGTAGCGTCTGCATCGGCAACCGGCGGCTTCTGGTCGTTCCTGTCTCTGCGTCTGTGGGAACCCCGCGGCAAGCAAGAACGTTATCCGAGTAGGCCTGGGTACCCTACTTCTGTAATTTATCCCAAGAATCTTCTTCTCATAACAGGAAGAAGCCGGCTCAATCCGCCCAGGGTGAATGCCGCATCAGTACAGTACAGGAAATACTTGTAGAAGAGACAGAGGGAAGACACGGAACGTCTGTGAGAAAGCGACTGTCGACGAGATGCCAGATCAGGACCTATCACATTGCATATTCGTATATAAGACAATCTACAATAACAGTAAAAACACGGTCTTCTCTCTCTCTCTCTTTTTCTCTCTTAAGCCTCAAAGATTTCACCGTAGAATATACTATCACAGGTATCAAAACACGAGGCTTTTCTGTAACAAGGAGGTTTTTACGAGAGAGGGTCGTTACACTCAGCCCAAATATTTTTGAATTCGGAGTTATCCTCCTAGAGTGGTTGCCAGCCGAGGCTGTACTACTATTTAAACTATAGCTGGGAGAATAATGAAAAATGTAGTTAAAAAACAAACAAAACAAAAATAAACACACACACACACACACACACACACACACACACACACACACACACACACACACACACACACACACACACACACACACACACACACACACAAAAAAAAAAAAAACACTCATTCGCACAATTACAATCAAGTAAAAGAGAGTTGACTCGCCGTGGGGCAGTGGTTATCAAGTTGGTTTAATAGACAAATTGCTACAGCAGTGATTTTTTAACAACTTGTCACACTAATAGTTGTTTGCAAGAGAAACTTGTGTCGAAAGCAGAAAAGTTTAGTAAATATGAAAAGGAGTGAAACATATCGGGGAAAACAAAAGAAGACGGAAAAGGAGGAGAAGGGGAGGAGGAGAAGGGAAGGGAGGGGGAGGAGGAGAAGGGAGGAGGAGAAGGTGATAAGGAGAAGGGGGAGGAGAAGGGGAGGAGAATGGGGAGGGGAGGAGAATGGGGAGGAGAGGAGAAGGGGGGAGGAGATGGGAGGAGGAGAAGGGAGGAGATGGGGAGGAGGAGAAGGGGAGGAGGAGGAGGAGGAGGATAGTTTAGGACGGATAAAAGCGTTGAAGGCTAAAAATTGAAGAAATTAGAAGTGGGATAAGTGAATAAAATTAATGATGCGAAACGGTACCGAAATGGATTGACCCGACTAAGAATCAAATTCCAAGTAAAAAAGATCTAAATATTGTTCATTGGCCAAATTTTGGGAAATGCGTGGTGCATTGAACGTTTCAACACCTCTATTTAAAAGAAAGAAAGAAAGAAAGAAAGAAAGAGCAAGGAAAGAGAAAAATCGTAAAAGAGAAAAGAAAATGTGTAAGAAATTAGAGAAGACGAAAACAGACTAGTGTAGGGCAGAGCAACTAAAGACAGAGAAGGGAGAGGGAGGGAGAGAGAGAGAAAGAGAGAGTGGGGAGATAATGTTTGTGAGAAAGAGAGAATACGAGTATTGAACTAATTACAATAAAAAAGAAAAAGAAAATGAAATAGAGGAGGATGAAACGAAGAAGAAGAGTTTTAGTTTAATAAATATTGAAGCTATAAAAGAATGAAAAGGAAGAGGGAAAGAAAGAAAAAAAGGAATAAAAAAATGAAAGAACGAATGAAAAAAAAAGATGAGCGAAAGAAAAAGAAAGAAAGATATTTGAAGAAAAATGTAGAGAAGTGGAAAGTCAAGTTAGAAAGTCAAAAAGAAAAGGTTAGGTGAAAGAAAGAAAGAAAGAAAGAAAGAAAGAAAGAAAGAAAGAAAGAAAGAAAAAGTGAGCGGAAATAGAAAGTTACGAAGTGAAAGAAAGAAAAAAGAAAGAAAGAAAGAAAAGGAAAGAAAAGAAAAGAAAAAGAAATGGATGTGTCAAAGAAAGAAAGAAACAAAATTGAAGGAAAAAGTGAATCAGTAGAAAAAGAAAATTACAAAGCCAAAAAGAAAGAAAGTAATAGATAAAAGAAAGAAAGAAAGAAAGAAAGAAAAACGAAATAAAGAAAATGATGGGTGAAAAGAAAGAAAGAAAGAAAAATGGATGAATGAAAGAAAAACGAAAGAAGGAAAATGATGGGTGAAAAGAAAGAAAGAAAGAAAGAAAGAAGGAAAAATGGATGAATGAAAGAAAAAGTGCAAGGAAAGTTTCGAAGTGAATGAATGAAAGAAATAAACAAAGAAAAAAAAAGTTAAAGAAAAAGAAAACTGAAGGAAAAACAAAGTCATTAGAAAAGTTAAAAGGTCAAAAAGCCAGAAAGTAATAGGTAAAAGAAAGAAAAAAGGAAGAAAAGAAAGAAAGAAAGAAAGAAAGATAGAAAGAAAGAAAGAAAGAAAGAAAAGAAAGAAAAGAAAGGAATTGTTAACATTTCCCATCTCAGTTAACCAGTACTGTAAGGGAAGCTCTCCTAAACACACAAAGAAAGAAAGAAAGAAAGAAAGAAAGAAAGAAAGAAAGAAAGAAAGAAAGGAATTGTTAACATTTCCCATCTCAGTTAACCAGTACTGTAAGGGAAGCTCTCCTAAACACACAAAGAAAGAAAGAAAGAAAGAAAGAAAGAAAGAAAGAAAGGAAGGAATTGTTAACATTTCCCATCTCAGTTAACCAGTACTGTAAGGGAAGCTCTCCTAAACACACAAAGAAAGAAAGAAAGAACGGGAGGAAGTATTAGGTTGGTGCAAAAAAAAATGACGTAAGAATGTCGTTTTTGACGATAAAAAACGACATTTTATGTCATTTTTTTTGCACCAACCTAATACTATGTATTAATAAGTGAGGTGCAGACAAAAATGTATTGATTAGCAAGGGATAAAGAAAGAAAGAAAGAAAGAAATAAAGAAATAAAGAAAGAAAGAAAGAAAGAAAGAAAGAAAAATGTAAGAAAGAAAGAAAGGAGAAATAAAGGAATTGTTAACATTTCTCACTTAAGTTAACCAGTACTGTAAGGGAAGCTCTCCTAAACACACAAAGAAAGAAAGAAAGAAAGAAAGAAAGAAAGAAAGAAAGAAAGTGATAAAGAGAGATGAACAGAAAGAAACTGAGGAAACAAGAAGTGTTACATTTAACAAGAAATTATTAAATGTGTAAATGAAAAAAAGCGATGAATAAATAAATAGCAGCAGCAATAAATAAATACTGATGGAACTGGTTATTACGGGAGGGTAGTCCATCTAAGAGAAGGAAAGCTCAGAATTTAAACGTCAGCTGCCTTGCGGCCATAACCAAAACATGAGAAAGGCTTCGGCAGTACACCATGATGAAAAATCCGGAACCGAAATCCCTAAGACAGATGTTATGTTCAACTTCGTTCTGACAAGTAAAAAGCTGCATTGGACTCTACCTTCTAAAGTAGCGGTCTACTGATGGGAGGATTCCGTAGGTCCTTCTGTATGGGGAACTGGCCTCCCGTAAAAATGCACGAGAGCAACATCATCTTCGCTTCAAGGACGTCTGCAAAAGTGACATGAGGGCGACGGACACAGAGTGGCGGGAAGACGTCGCCAAAGATCGCTCACGGTAAAGACGCGATTTATACCGAGAGCTGGAGCAAGGAGAAAAGATATGGAGGCTTTCCGCCAGGGTGAAGCGTACTCGAAGAAAAGGAAACAACACAGCGACATCGGGGGGTGATTTTCATCCATCCTCTTCACATGCAATGACTGCAATCGAAACTGTCACTCCTGTGTGGACCTGTACAGCCATATCAGATGCAGCGCCACCATCAGCAACTGAGGCATAACTTTTGGGGCACAGATCCAGGGTCTCTCGAGACCGACGGATGACACATAGAAATAAGTAAATAGAGATACATAGATAGATCGAAAGAAAGAAAGAAATACGGAAAACTGACACGAAGAAGGAAGGGGGAAGATAGAGGATGATCTGAACCAAAATAATTAGTAATAAATAATTATCAATCTTTACTTATTGATTCAATCAAATTAAATACGAAAAGCGTTTATTAAAAATAAATCCCATCATATT